ACTTGCTCATGTTGACATCCCTTATTAACATCACATTAGCTCCCAAAGTAGCCAGGAATGACTAACCACAATAGAAACAACAATCCAAGTAGTAGAAGGTAGATTAATGGGCTAAATGTTTCATTGAATGTAACCATGAGACATTGATGAACATCTTTAATGACCAAACACGCATATGATGTGATGAACACATTTATACACCCACATTCTGCTTCGGAGAAGGAAGATGGGCTCCAATCACCTAACAATAACCCATGTAGGGTTAAGATTTAAAGTAGTTATCACCATGATTGTCCTTAGGGAAGTTTTTTCCACCATGACCATTATAGGAGCCATATTCAGCACAATTTTCTCTATTCAAAATGGAAGAATGTGTTGCGAGAAGCTTAAGTTATCGATCCAACAATAATGTCTCATGAAGAGATTGAAACACGATAGGGAGGTCACAATGTATGACATTATTGATTAGGGATAATACTTGTCTTAGGGGTCGTGATGTGTGAACATTTAACTCCTCACTCATGGGATTCCCAACTAGTAAAGGTGCTTATCTTGAATAGGTAAAATGTATGTGTTCGAATGGAAAGATTTCATCCTGCTTCGAACCCATGGTACCTTGAGAACTTTGATGAATTATTTGGAAGGTATATATTCCTCCCAATTGTTTTTTACCACTTGGCCCATTTTCAGGAATAGGAATGCAGGCCACATGCGATAATATGGACCGTTTAAATTTAATAAATGTTTGGAGTTTATGTGAGGGTGGCCCAGAATTTGTGCCATGCCTATTCTTTCTTTGTCTATTTCATGCAAGGTTTGGATACAATTCAAAGACTGGGTTGGAGTGGTTAGGCAAACGACAACTTTGATTGTCTTGGGGAAATGGACTAAAACGGGTCGGGGTGGGGGGCTTTGGGTTTGGGCATTCAACCTTTTGGACCAAGGGAAATGGACTAAAAAAGCATACAAAAAGGCAAATGGCGCTAATCAAGTCAAAAGTATGAGGATCACTATTGTTGCGCCATCTATTGGATTTGGCAAACCAAGAACGTTGCAAGATTTGAAGTTGTTTCGGAAAAGAAATAAGAGATGGTTGCAAAAATTAAACACTTCGTGTACAAATTTTTGTACAATCTTTATCTTCATTAGACGATTCATTTCTAGTTTGGGACTTTTTGTAGTTCCAATCACCTTATTTCGAGGCCGTTTGATGATAACACTATTTTTCGGCTTATCAAGTTTATCAACTATTTTTTTCACCAAACACATAACTTTTATTTTCGCGCGCTGAATTGCATAATAATAAGAAAAAGTAATGTTGGGGCTACTTTTCTAGTTGTATTGACTGAAGTTACCGTAGATGACCATTTTAGCTATTTTTACATATAATTTTTACTTTATTTTATTAATAAAATAAAATTCAATCTCTCAGGTCTCATCCACGAATACGCTTCATCTATGCTGCGATTAACTCAACTTTACGTTCTTGTCGATCATTATAAAAATATTAGAGAGAATTCCCAAAATATGATTAAAAAAGTTTTGAAATTCCAAAATAGGAGTATCTTGTTTTTTATTCCTTGAATAGAAGCAAATTTATGCCAAGTTGAGTACCAAAGTTTCACTGACACAATAATGGAAGCTAGGAATGAAAGTGGCAAAAACTCTATCATAAACATTGTAAATAGTACTTTTGAGTGTTAATATAAACAAACAAGGGCGGGGGCCAACAGAGCCCCAACTCACCACAAATTTAAAAAATATTTGTATTTTTAGTGTTAAAATTATATTGTAGAAATTTATATGAAAAAATCTTTGTACCGACCCACCCTGAGCTTCACTTCTAGCTGCGAAGTATTTATACATTGCAATAAAAAAAAACCTTTAAAACCAATAGTAGTACAACTTAAAGCCAGCCATGATAGAGAAGGACTCTAGATTAACTAATTATTCTCTGTTCAATTAACTCTTCATTGCAGTTGAAGATTGTTTTTCAAACCTGCGAAAGTGATAACCGATACACACTTTTCTGCTTTTGACTTTACTCTCACATAGCATGGAATGGATTATTATAGCTTAGACAAGAATATTTGAATACTCATGTGAGAAAGTTTATGAAGAATACGTGGTAATGACAATGCAGATTGTGAAAATGTCTAACATAATAAGTGGCCGACATGTGAAAAGAGAAGCCCAATTTTCTTTCATCCAAAAAAACAAAGTGAAAAGAGAAGATGATGCTCAGAATCTTCAAATGCCTTGTAATACCACTATTAATAATATATTAAGCCCCCCTTTTACCTAGTTTTTAGCTGTTTAGCAGCATATATGATCTTTAAAGTCAGCATCTAAGCACTTGATTGAAGTCTAATCTTGCATTTTTATCACTTTATAGTTCCCATATCTAACAAGAATAATTCTAGCTTGTACGAAGTTCGATAATTTGAATATTTTTATCCCCTTATTATAAGAGTGGACAAAATATGTCCTGTCAATTAGACTTAGCTGCTTTTAACATTTCACGTACTGTAGAAATTTACACTTGGACCACCTGAAAACAGTAAAATGACAGGGAAGTTCTGTTCAAATTGGGGTGGAGGAAATGAATAGAAAAAGTATTTTTGACAATAAAAATAAAATATCCGACAATTAATCAGCAAATTCCATTTTATTTGAATGTACTATAATTATCACATTAGCAGCATTTGGTCGGATCCCGGATTCTTCGTACATTAGAATTCTTTATGTCGAATTTTGTGTTTTTTTGTCGTATCAGAATTGATTTTCAACATCTTGAGAGTAAATGATCTAAACTACCAAAAGGTATGCCAAGGTACTAACTTTTCTAATCTATTACAGTTATAGGGGGGTAAATGTTTTTCAATCCCACCAAAATTGAACAATAAATTTCATATCACGCCAGTAAAAGAGGTTCATTGTACTTACAAAGCATCCAGAAGGTGGTGATGTATTTATGGAGTTTAAATGTTTCATAGATCAATGAAATATATTATTTGGAGGAATAACTATTGTTGTTGCTAAATGTTATGATAGCAAATCAAAAAACAAATTTTATATGATCTCAATGCGGGGAGGACCTAGCTAGGGGATGGGGTAAGCCCATCTCGGATATAATAAAGTATAGATAGTACCTATGATGTACCGATACTTCACCCCGATGTCGTATCCACGTATCTGATACGTATCTCATACGTATCCGATATCGATATTCACCGATACGCGTCCTGTACGTATTGGGTCTGTATTCGTAATTTAATAAAAGTACAGAGAGCCGGTCATGAGGTCAGCTGGCCTAGGCAGTTGCCTAGGGCCTCACAATTTGTTGGGGCCTAAATATGTAGGAATTGTCATGACAGGTAAACGAAAATTTGACTCCAAATGTACAAAATGAAAAATAAGTTTAGAAGAGATTTAGTTATTAGATTGCTTGCTGATTCTATAGATCGATTGTAAAGACAAAATTTTCTTCCTGAGAATGGGCATGTTGGATGTCTATTTTATCTTATTTTTTAAGGAAAATTCCTGAAATAGGACTAAAAAAGTTTCAAAATTCCAAAATAGGGATGTCATGTTTTTTATTCCCAAAATAGGACTAATTACTGTCATGTTTAGAAAATACTGCCATGTTTGAAGTCTGGTACTGCCAAAACATGGCAGTAATTAGTCCTATTTTTGGAATAGAAAATATGGCAGTCCTATTTTGGAATTTTCAAACTGTTTTAGTCCTATTTTGGGTAATGTCTCCTTTTTTATGACTATGTGTTATATAAATCAAATAAATATCGTATGTGAACATTAAAAGTTTTTCGTCTGTGGCCTCCAAAGGGCTAGAGCCGACACGGTACAAGTATTGGACTTATTTTTAAAAATATGGATACTCCCGATACCCGTATTTGTAAACCGATACGCGTATCTAACTCTATAACCCTGATTTCATACACAACATAGGCGAAAACTTAGTAGCCGCCAAATGACCACAAGATGTGGAATATAAGTAAAGATTTCTGAAGTATGGAAAATATTGGATTACTATAATTTGCCAATTTGTCGCTTGGTGAGCTTTAATTGAAATCAATTTTGTTAAAAGACCTAGAATCAAATGCAAATAGAAAACTAAATGTATTATTTAAATTTAAATCAAAATACCAGTACTTTAGTTTTTGTCTAAATTTTGAAATTTTGTATAATTGTTAATTTTGTACTATTATTATTTTACTTATGAACATCTGAATTATATATATTTGCAAATTATACCCTATATTATTATTTATAAATATGCTCCCGTACCCGTATCCTATTATTTTTTAAGTTGTCGTATCGCCCTACGCGTATTCGCATATTGGCGTATACATGTATCCGTATCCGTGCAACATAGGAGAGTACTTGGGAGTTTTTACCGCATCTTTTTTTTCGAATTTTATTTATTATAAAGAGCGGTCGTTATATTAAAATAAAAAACACGAAATAATTCCACTTTTGGTCCCATGACTATTATACCACTTCCACATTTAGTCCCTTACTTCCAGATTGTCCACATTTAGTCCGTGACCATTATCCCCTCACCACCCCTCATCCTTCGGGCCAAAATTCCGACAAATTTAGTCCACTTATCAGCCTCAGAACCAGTCTTTGCATTAAATTTTATATAAAGTTGGGTTTTTCATATCAGTCTTTGCATTAAATTTGGTTTTTCATACCTAAAATCTGCATTAAATTTACCGAAATTTTTGGCCGGAAGGACGAGGGGTGGTGAGGGGATAATGGTCACGGACTAAATGTGGACAATCTGAAAGTAAGGGACTAAATGTGGAAGTGGTATAATAGTCACGAGACCAAAAGTGGAATTTTTTCTTAAAAACATATACAAGACAACTTTCAGACAGAATTCACAAATCCAATCTCGAACCCTAGGAGTAGACTTAGAGTCAGTCACCTCATACAAAGCAACCTGACTCGCTAAACCTGAAACGGGCAAATATAGGTCTAAAGCAATCGGAACCAAAGCCCTGCCTGTCAAATGAACACCAAAAATCCAAAGCAAACCTACTCGGACTAAAACAAAAACAAGTACTACTAAAATATAAATAATTTTGAAAAACGATATTTCCACAAAACTCTTCCTAGTTTCAGAGAAAGAAGGTTTCGGAGGAGGACAAACTCTTGCAATAGGGGTGAATACTAACTCCACCATCATCGGAGCAACCGACCAAGGCTGCCTGATCCAACATGGATACAAACTCTCAGCCACAATCAATTAGACCGCTAACCTAGCGCCCTGGTCAGCATCACTGTCTACCATGTCAAATTAAAAGCCAACTCTTTCTCATCATCCTTCACATTCAAATTGCCATAATGCTTTTCCAAGTGTGCCATTGAAATCTTCCAATTTCGAATGTACCGCCGTTGCTCTGTAAATTCTTCCGAGCTTGTCACCGCGGTCGTCCTTGCTCAAGAAAAGATGCTCGGCTGCCGCACCAAGACACCAACTCCAACAAATGGAGAAACCAGCCATCCAATAAATGGGTGTGAAAATTTGAACACCAGCGAACCAATCAAATTGAACATCCAAAAACCTGCAACTTATAAACCAAAGAGAGAAATCTGAAACGTAAATTGTGTCGCATGAAAATTCAGCGGAAGGAAAACCCTAACTCTCGTAGGGAAACGGTTGTAACCCCTGGAAATAGACATAGAATCAGTCACCTCATATAAAGTAACTTGACTCGTCAAACACAAAACGGACAATTTTAAGCCTAAAATGGCCGTAATCGAAACAATCTCTATTGAAAGTACTCCAGAAATCCAAATATCCAAACCAAACCTACTCGAACTAAAATAAAATCAAGTAATGCTAAAGAAAAAATAAAATTATAATAAAGTATTTCCTCAAAACTCCTCCTGACACAGAGGTGGTTATGGAGGAGCTCGATCTACTGCAATATGGGTGAACTTTATATTCTTCTTACTTCGTTCTCGATAAACGTAGAAACAAGTGGAGTTAAAAACAATCTTTGTGCATCTACCATTTTCAATGTTCTAAAAGACGTTAGGTGCTAGTCGGGCGCCAGCCCAGTGCCTAGCGCCTAGGCGGTTAGGCGGGCGCCTAGTCGAGGATTAGTCAGAGACATAGAAATTGCATTTTTATCTATATTTTTGCATAAATATGTTAAGTAATATTGTATTTTGTGTGTGTATAAAATACATATATACACATACATTAACAAAAATGAATGATAGAATTATCACATTTAATCATACGTAGTACGGAGTATATGATAACTAATCACTTAAAATTATGTATTAATATTAGTTGGACATAAAAAAGTTAAAATATATTTATTTGAAATATGTAGTACAATTGAAAATTGAGAAAAAATAAAACATGAAATACAATTTTTAATAAATAAGAATCAATCGGAATTTCCGCCATCTTCGGTTGTTTCATCCATAAAGTGGCGGGTAGGTTCGATGCTCAGTCCTTGAGTTCTACGTTGGGCCTTCGACCAATCGTGGAAGCAAACAAGCGTCTCAAGAGAGTTTGCGTTCAATCTCGTTCTATAGTCCGTTAGCACGTTGTCGGCCGCACTAAACTCTTGTTCCACAGCAACTATTGATACCGGCATTGCTAGCACTTGCTTAGCCATCTTTGATAAGATCGGGAACGTTCTTTCTTTTTCCTTCCACCACTGAAGTACGTCAAAATCATCCCCTTCTTCATACTCAACAGGAAAGGTTAGATACAAAGAAAGCTCGTTAATCGAGCTTTGTTCATTAACCGGAGTTGATTTACTTTTTTTCATAAGATTGCCAAATGCAGATTTCAAAATTGATTTCCCTTTAGATGAAGAAGATTTTCGTCACGAGGGAGGAGGTGTGCTACCATATTCTGCATGAAACTCATTAAATAATTGATAAAGTAATTTGCTAACCTCTTGGAATTCTTGTTTAGGGTCTATGGCCTTGTCGTCGTACATAGGCAATGGACCAAAAAAAGAAGCATAATGGTAATATAAACATTTCCCCAAATAATCAAGTCTAAAATGAGGATCAGGAATAAATGCAATACCATATATATGCGGAATATGTGAATAATATTTTAACAACTTCTCTTTCATGCAAGAACAAAAATAACTAACGTAATTGGCATCGGAAAATTCATAAAAAGCACCGACGAGATTAACAGCTTCAACATAAAATTGGTTTGCGGTAGGTTTATAAACATGACTAAAAGTTTGAGATGCATTATTAAAAAACACCAAAACATTCACAATTTTTTCACAAGTGTCGATGTCGGCCGGGTTTATAATATAGTTAGCATATTCTTTTAAAAAAACAGGAAAATGGTTTTTAAATCTAATAAGCACCTTAATTAAGTTATAAGTACTATTCCAACGAATAGACAAATCTTTAGGAAAAGCACAATATTTGACACGTCTTTCTTTCAAATAATTTCTCCATTGCATCTTAAGTTGATTACTAGCCCAAATAAGTTTAATCCCCCCCTTCACCACCTACATAGCATCTCCCAACGCCGCTAGCCCGTCTTTTACACATAAATTTAAAATATGACATGCACAACGCTAATGAAAAAACTTACCCATCAAAGAAGATGAGCCACACAATTCACGCAATCTAGGAATAGCAAGACTTTTGGAAAAATTAAAAGGCAAATTTTCTTCAACAATTAAATGAGACATACCGGTCAAATGTTTTTATCATCATAGGAGAAATTACCGAAGGGTCGGCCAGTTCCAAACCTTGAAATTCGTGTTTGCTTTCTCTTGGCTTTGTCTGATTTCGCATACGCCGCCGGGTGCTTGGCCTTAAGATGCCTTGTGGCGCTCCCGTACCCTCCAGAAATTCCCAAATTATACACTTTTGGGCAATGCTTGCAAGTGGCGTACCATATCTCGGTTTCGGGGTCTTTGACTTTTGTAAAATTGGCCTTAAAGACAGATTCAGCTTTCTCACCGCCTTGGGAAGAAGTAGCCACTTCCGCTTGCTCTTCCTCATTGTCCGGTGTGCCATGAATCTCATCCTCGACCGTTTGCGGATCCCCCTCCTCCGCATCATCATCCTTGAGCTCTTCTTCGTCAATGGTTTGCGGGATGTCTTGTTGATGGAAAAGGCGCCCTTAATTTTGTTGCAATAGTTGTTCTACTTGCTCATCAGACATCGCATCCTCATATCTTTGGTTGTAATCGGCATCAAAATCATCTCGGGTTTGAGATGAAGATCCGGCTCGTCCCTTACCTTTGCGTGAGCTTGGATGATTCCTCACAATCTCCTTTATTTGGTTGCGGCGGAGGTTACTCATATCTACAGAAGATCTACCACGTTCCATCTTAAAAATACAACAAATATTAAATTCGAAGTACAATTAAACTAGTTAATTCGAAATACAATTAAATTCGAACTATGCAACTACAATGTAATAAAATTAACTAGAATGTAACAATTAAATTCGAACTATGCAACTACAATTTTAAACTACAATTAAAAATCAGAAAATGTAACAATGCAACTAATTAACTAGTAAGCAATAAAATTCGAACTATTTGTTAACCAATAATAAATAAATAAATAAAAATTTAACAAGTTTAACTACTTTTATTATAAAATTCGAACAACTTTAATATAATTAACAATTAACTAGTTTTATATTAGATTAAGAAATGTAACAATTAACTAGTTTTATAGGAGATTAAGAAATGTAACAATTAACTAGTTTTATAGGAGAATAAGAAATGTAACAATTAACTAGTTTAACAATTAAACAATTAATTTTGAATTATTATCTTACAATTTTTAATGTAACTATTTCCAATAAACTAACAACTAACAATTAACCACTTTTATAGCAATGAACTAATACTAAAATGATAAGTGAAACAATTAACTAGTTTTATATTAATAAAGAATGTATGAGTGTGTAAACTAAATTAATGGGAGTACGAGAGTGTATAAGCAATTGGATAAGTAGATAATAAGTGTATAAGTACATATACTTAATATATATTTATAAGTAGATAATAAGTAGATTAACTAGTAATGTATAATATTATGTTTATAGTATATATAATATAAGTATAAGATGAGTAATACACTTATATATAATACTTTAATATATATAAGTATATATTAAGTATATGTAATATGTAAATATAAGTAAATAACAATAATATAATAATTGGATATTAATATAAGTAGATAATAAGTAGATAATAAATTTTATAAATATAATATATGTAGTTATAAATTTGAGAAGATGAAGATGAAGAAGATTAGTAGAGAATAGAGATTAGAGAGTAGGAATGTGTGGAGAAGATGTGTAGTAAATTGTATAGAAAAAATGGAGTATTTATAGATTTTTTATACCTCACCCCCACCCCACCCTCGGGACCCCAGGGAGCCTCCCAACGGCTATAGAGCCGTTTGGGTTTGAATGCAGCCTTGTTTGGCTGGAAAAGAAAAAAAAAATTAAAAAATAGCCGTTAGGCCCGGACCGGGCCCGAACCGACCAGGCCGGTTCGCCTTTTTAATGACCCGTGCCCGAACTGCCCTACCCGAACGGGCCGGTTCAAAGCCAGAACCGCCCAACCGTCACCCGGGCCGGGTCGGGCCCATCCTTATTTTGAACTAAATAGCAAATATCAATATCTTAAAAGTCATAATAAATTAATGAGCACTTGCGACTCTGGAGTTATGTTGCTGTATTCGTTCACCGGTATCTCTTCACCTTGGCATTTGGCCGGTATGAACCATTAAAACTCATTCAATTTAATTGAGTACAGGGTATTACATAGCACCTACCTAAAATGATATTTAGATCCCTCAATTGGGGTGCTCTTTTAGCCTTTTCATATCAGCCTATGACTTTGAGCATCTGGCAATGTCATTAACTCCAAGAAGACCAGAACCTGAATTGAATTTTATAGCATCACTGCAGTCATGCAGATGGGCTTCTGTACAAAGATCACTCAGAAAAATCTAGTACAATCTGCTTCAATACCAATGTTTCAATTTAAACACGTCAAGGAATTGGTCAGTGTAAAAGAAATATACTCTAACATATGCAGAAGAAGTTCTTCATCCCCTATAGCCAAGCAAATGTTTTGCCCATCTTCTAGCCATGAAAGGATCATGGTATTGCCAATTTCCAACACCGCCAGTCCTTCCCATTATGGTCTGGACACTATCTATGGTGCCTACAGTGCTTTCTCTCTTATCATGAATGCCCACCACTATCACTCCCGTTTCGGCAGAACCACCAAGCATGGAGTCCTCATAGCTGTACTCTACATGCACCTTTCCAGTCTCCCCAAGAACCAATGGCACTCTCCTCTCCTCGCCAGCTCTAATTTCACCTAGCCTCACAATCCTCGAGTCCACGCCAATCCTCAACTGGACTTCTCTGACAGCTCCCCCAAGAATGCTTGCAAGAAACCCTTCAAGTTCATGCATTATGAACCCGTTTGAGCTTCGGAAGCCAAACCCAACATGAAACTTGTGGAATGTGAGTGGCACATCTGTAGCTAACGGATGGTATGATCTTATAGGGCTGTCAGACAGATGTAGCATTAAAGAGTGAGGGTTTTGGTGAGAACGGTCTCCAAGTATCTTTACCCCTTTCCTCAGCCCTTCTGTAGGATCTGCATGCGGCCCCACATAGAAGAGCCGGTCAATTACTTGTAGGGCTGCCCGCTTCCCGCATGACGTCATGCGCCTGAGAGAGAAGATGCGTGCCGCTGCAGAAGAGTAAGTCACTATAGCCAACCGATCCATGGGCCCTAGAGAGAACACCACTAACGCCATTGCTTGCTTCATAAGCCTCAGGTGGGGCCCATTAGGGCTGGCTACTAAGACCATGTCAGTAGCATGGTGATAAGCTATTTTTACGGAAAGGTACGCTCTTTTAGCCGAGAGTGGATTGCACATAACGTGGTTCCATCTGATGGAGTGATTTGAGCACTGACTATAGCTAGGGTGAATTAGGGGAACAGGTATTAAAGAGAACTGGAGTCGGTGGGGGTTTGTTGAGAGGACAGGTTCAACGGGATCATCATCATCATAACGAGCAGAGCGTAAAAAGGAGCGTCTATGAACCCTAAAAGTTGCAATCGAGTCATCCAGGATCTGTAGAATAGGATCGCCTTGACTGCGATGCAAGGAACAACGCGCATGTAGGTTGCGAGGCAGTTGGGTCCAAAGTGAACGACAAATGGGACAGGAAACACTGCCATGTCGGACGTTTGAAGAGATGCAATCAAAGTGGAAAGCATGAGAGCACTGTGCAGTGAAGATAGCCTGGCCTGGACTGCTGCTTGAGCCGTAATTCAATGGGTCGAGGCATATGGCACACACATTCTGCTTCACAATCAAAAGACAGGCGTGAGATTAAGTGCAGTAAGGGAGTTGTGAGGAGTGAAACTTTTAGCCCAAACTAGGTAATTAGAAGGCTTAATACCTGAAAAGTCCAACTATTTGCATAAATAACATGTGAAATTATGTAAATAGTCCTATATTTAAATTGTTGAAATGTAATCAGGCAGAGAGAGACCGGGAAATTAGCTGAAGGAGCACAAGTGTGTAAAATATGATACTCAAATGTTGGCAAAGATAAAGACATGGACACAACATGACAATGAAATTGTAATTTATCTGTTTGGCCATAAAATTAGTAGAAACCCCCATTTTTCAAAAGCCAACACAAAACTCTCCTATCAGCACCATTTTCATTTTAGCGTTTTCGTCCAAAAACGCTAGTGCCAAACCGCCATTTACCAAACAGCTTTTTTACGTATTGAAAACGTTGAAAGTGGTCAAACCGCCATTTTCCGGCTGTAACGCTGTTTACAAAACACCCACTAAGTTTATTAAGCCCCCAAGCGAGTAGTATACTTGTTTTAGAATTGCATCAGCAGTTATTTTTGGGGTAACCCTGAGCAGTGAGGGGGAATTACAGAGTTCTCCATTGATGATTAGACAATTTGAGGCTAAAATATATGCTACGTGGCTAATTAGAGTGCCAAAATTGAAGATTTCAAGAACACCAGATCTAGGAAAAGAAAGGCTGACAGAATTTCTTGCATTTAAATATTGAAACAAAAATACAGTTGAAGTGCACACAAAAAGGTTGAAGATAGCAGATGGTGTTGTTTGGCGATTATGCATTTTTACCTTAGAAGAAGTGGAATCCGATTGGTATGCAAGTCTAGAAGGTTTAACTTGAGAAGAATTACTTGAGGGCTCTGCATTGATCGGAGAATCAAGAATTGCCTGGCGGGAAAAAAGAATCAAGAAAATGAAAATTAATACTAGCACACAGACCTAGACAGCAAAGATTTGAACTTTTGCTTAATTCTGCAATTGGGCATCAAGAAAACAACAAATCTCAGTGTAACATTGACAAGAATGGTACAAATGCAACTGCATAGTAACCTGCGGTGGCGGACTGCGGAAAATAGAAAGAGGGCAGCTTGCATTAGCCGTGGCGGTGGTGTCAAGAACAGCGGAGTCGTGGTCTCTCCGGGAGAAAGAGCCACAGGTCTGGACAAGGAGCTTTTTGGCGACTTTCTTCAGTTTCCACGACACTGACGCTCCTCCCCCGGTAGACATTCCGTCCGCCGGAGATGGGTTTCGCAGATCGTTTCTTTACCAATTGGGAAATGATTTAGGGTGATAGTGGCATAAGGTACCAGTGTATTGCCACTTTTTCAGCTTCTCAATTTGGTGCTCCAATTATTGAAAGTGTTGTCAGTTTCCTTGATGGCATTGCACTATTGCAGGTGAAATGCAACAAACCAACTCGAGCTGTGGGGCTGGAGCTTTACCCTTTTCCTTTTTCTTTATGAAACCCAAATTTTGTTCTATGGCACGTCAATTAGATTCCATTTGACCCCCATTCTACCCTAGTCTGCCTTGTTCAGCTTATTTAGGGCCAAATAAGGGGTTTATACCGACCAATATGGATTAGACTCGACCGAAAAGAATTGGAAATGTACAAACATAGTAATCTGAAACTGGACCAAAACCCAGTTCAGATTTCAGAATCTCAGATTGTGTGTATCCAGGGATTTGATCTTTATTTAGAAAAATATAAAGAAATTGCACAATGGGCCTAAAAAATGTTTAATATTCCGAAAATAGGAGTTTAAGTTTTGTATTCCCCAAGTTATTACATTTTCATCCTAATACCAAAATCATTGATTGTCTGACCCCCTCTGCTATCCATTGCAAACTTATGACCTTATGCTTGCAATTACACCCTCTTCATGGATCACCATCAGCCCTCCCGTTGGACTTTGGGGGTGAAAATATTTTTTGGAGAGTTCAAAATTTTTTTTTGGAGGGAGAAAATTATTTTTCATATATATATATACTAAAAAAAATTCTTGTTGGGAGGGCGGTAACCCCCCTGGGTCTGTACTACGGTCCGCCGCTGGACGCAGCTTGACCGCTATCGATCACAGGTCTCTGCTTATCGACATCAGACGCCACCTCTTCTGTGGTTTATCCAGCAAAATCAAGTATTCTTTTCTTCTTCTTTCAACTCCTGCACCCTATTTTCTATTTTTTCGATTCATCGGTTGCCTTTTCAAACTCTAAATAAATTTTTGGATTTCAAAATTTTAAATGAAGATTCATTTCTATTTGAACAACAATTGATAAGAAATATTTGTGTTTGAATTCTTATTTATTTATCAATTTTGATCAATTTGGAACATAACTACCGATTGTTAGGGGGAAAATGTCACTTTTATGCCCTTATATTTAAAATTCTAAACTCATAAAGATGTCAATTTTAATATGACAATTATATAATTTCCTGCGACAATAATGAATCTGGAAATGTTTTTACTTCTCATCTAAAATTTTATATTTTCACAGTTAAAAATGTAATATTTGTATACGATAATGTCATTTTTATGTCATTACTTTGATCAAGATGACACTCTTGTTGAAGGCTTACAGTAACTTGTCAAAGCGTGGAAGCTTAACCGAATAAAGGTGGCGACGGCAAACTTGCTCAAAGGTGGATCAAACCTAAAGCGTCTTTAGCATTTAGCGGTTAGCGGATAGCGGATTATGTTAGCGGGTTGTCAATAGCAGACTCAGTGAGCGGGTTTGACTAGAGGAATGAATTGGCGGGTTGTAAGAAGATGTTTGATAATTTAGCTGTTTGGCCATAAAATTAGTAGAAAACACCTTTTTTCAAAACGTCAATCCAAAACTCTCATATTAGCAGCGTTTTCATTTCAATGTTTCGTACAAAGGAAAACATGATCATCATTTTGGGACATCCCACAAAAGAAGTACAGGACCATCATTTTGGGACGGATGTAGTACAATTTTAGTCTTAAAAATCATAAAAGTCCTATTTAAATATTTTCTGTCTCTTTTTAGTTCTATCTGTGAAATTCTCTCAAAAATATATAACTCGTATTCACAAATATAAATATTCATAATTCTTATTTGGCAAAACTTAGGACTCCGTACAGTGCACATTAAATTAACGTCCTTAAATGGACTTCAGAGTAATAAACAAATCAAAATTCAAATATGATAGAGGTTGTTTTTAGTTGGACCGTAATTCGTCCCAGACCAGACCAGACCAAAACAGACCAGACCAGATCAGACTAAAATAGATCAGACCAGACCAGACCATACCAGACCACACCAAACCATATTTTATTATTATTATTATATTGTTGTTGTTGTTGTTGTTATCATCATCATCATCGTCATCGTCGTCGTCATCATCATCATCATTACCATTGTTATTGTTATCATAAGAGGGTTCACCTGGACGACAAGGTCCATCCCCCCCGTCGTATATCTTGACATCGTCGAGCTTGTCAAGATAAGTCCGGTCCTTGACCGGGATGGCCTGGGAGAGCACATCATGGCCGTCAACGCCATCGTTGAAAACACCCCCGTCCCTGGGGTACTCGACCTCGATCTTATAGGTGGACGTAGCCACCTCCTTACCGGACCGCTTTGGTCGGGGCCCCTGGTCGAGGGAGAGGGGTTGAGAAACACCGCCGGAGAGACCGGAGATAAGATCCACAATGGCAACGGCAGCACCGGATCCCCCTTCGTCCACAATTGGGACGGTCAGAGCGCCGACCTCATCAGCAACAGAAGAAGGCGAAGTCTTCTTGGACTTCTTGGCGGGTTGCATGCCGGCCTCAGACAGTTTTTTTGGGGAATCATCCACCGGCCGCTTTTTCTTTGGCTGGGGGTGGTTTCTTCGGCACATCACCACTTGCAGCCGCCTTCGTTGCGGCCTCCTTGGCGGCCAGCTCCGCCTTCTCCTTTGCGGCGGCCTTGTTCATCACGGACCGACGATCCATCACAAAGTCTACACAGCAAAGGAAAATAAGTTAGCAAAATAAAAGAACAAAACGAGATTAGGACGCCGGAGGAAGTATTACCAGCAGCTTCGGCAGGGACGCCCAGATCTGGGTCGTCGGCCTCCTCAAAGGTAGTGGTCATCCTCGGCCACAGTTGTATGTCATCCTCCTTGTCACCATACACGAAGTATCTAAAGAAGCCGATAGCGGTCATCTTGTACTCCGTGATGTAATCCTTCACACTCCTCCCCCCCCCCCTCAAGGAATGCCTCCACCTGAGCATCCAAGATCGAACTCTTTGGCGGGTCGTGGAGATTGAATCTCCCATCATGGCCGACGGAGGGGAATTCAGTGCCACCCTCGCCCAGGGACACGAAGACAAATTTGCTCTTCCAACCATGTATGGATGGAGGCAAGTCCGTGAAAGTCCTCCTCTTCGGCAGCTGCTGCAGAGTGGCGTAGCAGGCACAATTTTTTTGGCTCCCTCGGCCAATCTGATAAAGGTTCATGAACAGGGCCGTCGTCAGTTTGTAACCCAATTCAGCACAGCGGAGGAGGAACCCCACCATCAGCGAGTAGCTGTTTGGGGTCAACAAGGCCGGAGGGAGTCCCACCATGTCCAGGTAATCCTTGATGAAGGGGTGAAGGGGAAACCTTAGCCCCTTGGCGAAACTCATCGGATACACTCCGAAGTATCCCGGCGGCGGATTGAGCACGTGGTTCGTCGGCCTAGGCGCCCTAACCCTCCCAAAGGGCCCAACGTACATCTGGGCGACCAAGTAATCAGCAGCGCTACTCTCCGGCTTGATGAGGAAAATGTTAGTGAGGTCCAAGTAAGAGAAACCCGGGCCCTTCTTCGGCCGACTGTTCCTCTTCGGCCGCAATGCTCCCTTCACAGCAGACACCGGCTTCGGACACGGAATGGTAGTAGAGGTAGACGCCCCGTCAATTACACGGGAAACCCCTGCGTCCCCACCTTCAGATGACGAGGCGGACTCCTCGTCCTCGCCCTCCTCGTCCACATGATCTCCAGACTTATAAGGGCTCAAACGTTCAATCTCCTCGGCACACTCCTCGATCACTTTGTAGTCAAGAGACTTAACGGAGGGCTCGTCGTCGTAGGGATAATACTCCTCGTTCAGGGTTTTCATCTTAACAACTCCTAAGACACTAAGGGGATCTACTTTAGATCTAAGGTTTTTTTGTGACTAACACTAGATCAAAGTCTAAAGGAAGCAAAATATATAAGAAATCAAAGAAAAGTTAAAGAACTGACCTTGAAGTTTTGAAGGAGGTGAAGAACACTCGCAAAAGACTATCTCTCTAGAATTTTGGGCAGCACTTCGTTGCTCAGGATGCAAATGGAGGCTTTCTTCGGAATGGGAGGGGTATTTATAGCCCACCCCCAACGGTAAATACACGTGGCACCACCCTAGTGGCCACACCAACGGTCACCAATGGGATGCCACCACTTTGACAACGGGCAAGGGCCACGAACCAGCCCAATGGTGAGGCAAGCCCTACGGTGCACACAGACAAACAATGCCCACAACGCCCGCACACACTCAACTGCCACACATGAGCAAGGCATATATCCGCCTACGGCCACCGGGGATGAAACACCCCTCGGCGCCAACAAACTCCAGCAAGAGCCCGCAACGGTCAAGGCATCCAATGACCCCGATCACAACAACAAGGACATGACAACGGCTAGGAGTATCATGCACGCACTTAACGGCCGCAGAATCAAAGAAGTAAAGAACTCGCAGCCATCGGTCTACGAAACGGCCCCCGATGATAACCCTTTGCAAGCGATCTGCGCCCAAGGGTTCTCCCACAGGGTTACCTTGGCCAGAAAATCGCCAAAGGGTTGGATTCAGGGGCACTACGGAGATACCGCATCGGCCAGGGACTCAAACTACTTCTTCACCCCTCACACTCTTCGGCCTGAAGTAGTGGGGGACTGGGGGACTACACCGGCCTCAAGATTGGCAAGCAAAATGAGAAACAAAATGCACAAAGTACACAATTGCAACTACAAGAGCGGTCACATCGTCCATGTACCACAACGGTTCTAAGGTCCTCATAACTCCATCTCCGGCCAGACTGTTATCGTCCCCAAAACCTTGGGGAATATGGCACCTCAACGGCCAAAGGCACATGGTGTCATCAACGACGGCCAAAAGGAGTGCACAGCACCCTCACCGGCCATCCAAAACAAAGGACACTCACCGTCCTCAAAACAAGACGCAACCTCAACGGCCTCATTGGCACAAAAGGAAAGTTCAACCATCAACGATCAAAAAAGGATAGATACTACCTTCCTCGGCCACCCATGCCAAAACACTCATCGTCCACAAACAAGCACACCAAAGGAATGACAGCCTTCCCCGTCCATATCAAGGGCCAGGTAACGACCAAACTCAGAACAGGGCCACCAACGCCACGACAGAGAACGGCCAGAGTGGTCCCGCATCGGCCAAGAGCATCGAGCACAGAAATCTACTCTCCTTCACTTCGTCTACATCTCAGCTTAGAGAGTGGGGGACTCCTGATGGAGTATATGGGTCTAGGCCACATGACCCACATACTCAGAAGAACAGAAAGTACAAGCCACTAAGTGGTGCCCTCGCCGGCCAAAGGACCCCCGTCGGCCGAAGAGGGACCAACTCAGAATATGATCCTAAA